AAATTCCCAAAATTTACCCCAAAAATTCCCAAAATTACCCCAAAAATTCCCAAAATTCCCAAAATTTCCCAAAATTTCCCAAAATTTCCCAAAATTCCCCAATTTTTGTGTCCCCTCCCCCCACAGGGACCCCAAGGACCCCCCGGAGGCGTCGGGAATTTGGGACCTCCCGGAGAAAAGGTGAAAAAAATGGGGTGAAATTCCGGGATTTTGGGAAAATTTGAGAATTCCCAATGAAATTTTGGGAATTTTGGGGTTCTGGGATGGGATTTTGGGATTCTGGATGGAATTCTGGGATTTTGGGATGAAATTTTGGGCATTTCTGGTGGAATTTTGGGAATTTGGGGGTTCTGGGAGGGAATTATGGGATTTTTGGAATTTTGGGGTGGAATTTTGGGAATTTCCGGTGGGATTTTGGGATTTTAGGGTGGAATTTGGGGAATTTTCAGTGAAATTTTGGGAATTTTGGGATTCTGGGGGGAATTCTGGGATTTTGGGATGGATTTTTGGAATTTTTTGGGTGGAATTTTGGGATTTTTGGTGGGATTTAAGGGGAATTTTGGAAATTTTGGAATTCTGGGTGGAATTTTGTGATTTTGGGATGGAATTTTGGGATTCTGGTTGGAATTCTGGGAATTTTGGGGGGGGATTTGGGGTTGGAATTTTGGGAATTCCCAATGAAATTTTGGGAATTTCAGGTGGAATTTTGGGAACTTTGGGGTTCCAGTTGGATTTTTGGGATTCTGGGATGGAATTTTGGGATTTTTTGGGTGGAATTTTGGGATTTTTGGTGGGATTTAGGGGGAATTTTGGAAATTTTGGGATTCTGGGTGGAATTTTGTGTATTTTTGGGTGGAATTTTGGGAATTTCTCTCCCCCAGGGTGACCCCGGTGAACCCGGAACCCCCGGAATTCAAGGAGAACCCGGAATCAAGGTAATCCCAAAAAAAATCCCAAAAAATCCCCAAAAAATCCCCAAAATATTCAAAAAATTGCCAAAAAACTCCCAAAAAATTCTCCCAAAAATCCCAAATTTTAATTTTTTCCTGATATTTTTCTCAAATTTTAATTTTTTTTTCTGTTTTCAGGGTCCTCACGGGGATCGAGGGGAGAAAGGGGAGAGCGGAGCCCCCGGAGCCGCGGGACCCCCGGGGGGRAGAGGAAAACCCGGGGACAGCGGACCAAAAGGGAATCC